AATTTGGGAGAATCGAGCAAAGGTTGGATTATTCTTGTTAAATTTTCCTAAATACTATTAAAATTTATCTTGTAATGGGGTAGGTATCAAACTTTATTATAATCATTTATCATTTGAATAGTTTTTATTTATTTTATTGGGTTATCATGAAGTCATATTCTCATTCCATGTATATCTACATGTACTCATAAATTATCATATTATACTTACGTATTTTTCTATTTGAATCCACCATATTTCTCCACCATATCATAAATTAAAAAAAAAAAATATTTGAACCCACCATATTTCTCCACCAAGTTTAGTTACATGGAGATAATTTTCACCATATCATAAATTTAAAAAAAAAAAATTAATATTTGAACCCACCATATTTCTCCACCAAGTACAGTTACGTGGAGATAATTTTTTAATAGTAGGATATTTTTATAATTTGAACCCAATTAAATATCTTTTTGGAGATTTATCTTTTCCTATATTTTTTTGAATTTCTTATACTCGTAGTATTGATTTAATGAATTTATCTTTTCCTACATTTTTTACTTTATTTTTTTCCATTAAAATAATTTAATTCGTGGATTATAATCTACGTGGCATTAAAATTTTAGATATATCAAATCTAATTCGTTACTTTTATCTAGATGGTGATATAATTTTTTAATTCAAAAATAAAATACAAATCTTTTTTCTTATTAATAATTATATTTCTTACGTGGCTCTCCGAATTCTCTTCAAAAATGCCTACTTTATTTATATATATTAGATTTGTTGAGACTATTCCTCTTTATTCATTTTATTTAGGCTATGCTTACTTAAAGATATATTTATTTATGTGTACTCCCTCTGTTTTTATTTAAGTGCCCCATTTTGACCGAAACACTTGCCAATGCACAACTTTGACTAATGATATCTTTAACTATCCATAAGTATAAATTATAAAAAGTTGATAATTCGAAACTATGCTTTGAGACGATTCTAATAAGTACTCATTGATTATATTTCATCTTACGTATAAAGCACAAACATTGGTCAAAGCAGTGCATGTGAATAGTGACAAAGTCAAACTAGGGCACTTAAATAAAAATGGAGGGAGTATATCTCTACCTTTTAAAAAGTATGAGAAAACACATAAGAATAGTGTAAAGGCTATTATATCCTTAAAATATTTGTTTGCCTATATGCCACTATTGATATGATGTTAATTGCCTCTAATCTTTTTCTTGTGCTATGTAATGAATAGTGTTTGGACAATTATACCCTCTAAAATGTTTATTTACTTATTTGTCCTCATTAATGTATTTTTGAACTCTTAAGAAAAGTGTGTGAACAATTATACCCTTTAAATATTTGTTTACATATTTTCCTTCATTATGTTGCCAACAACTAAAAGAGCTCCCATACATGGCTAACTATGGCGCATGCGTTAGCTACCCTAGTTAAAAACATAAATTACTATTGGCTAAGATGGTAAGAAATGTATTCTTATATCCATGAGATTGATTAAGTGTTCGAGACATGCGGGATGTTTTTTTCTCATTAATTAATAATGACGTGGAATAGTTGTTGCAATGCTAGTGGTAACATGGCACCAATGCTAGTTAAATGACGACGTGGTGCAATACTAGTGCAGATCTATGTGGCACATAAACTTTTTGAGGAACACTTTTTAACATATAAAGTATAGATAACATCAAAACAATGAATGATATCATCTAGCGACGAATATAATATAATCTATATAATTAATCATATCATCCTGCCTAGATATATACTTAAAGATATCATCCAGACAGGCAGACAATTAATCATATCATCCAGCCTAGATATATACTTAAAGATATCATCCGGAAAGGCAGACAATTAATCATTTTATCCAACCAACTAATCATATCATCTAGCATAGACACTTAAAAATATCATCAAAATAATTAATCATATTATCCAGATAATGAGTGTTATCATCCAACCTATAAAACTACAATATACAAAAAATGATATTAAAAATATCATCAAGCCCATACAACTACTTATATAATCTAGGCAACTAATCATATCATCTGGTAAACAAAATAATCAAAAATCAAAATTTCAAAACCATTTTTACTTTAATTTTTTCTATCAAAGGGAATGAGAAAGGGTAAATTATTGGTCTAAAAACTAAAAAAACTAAGAATGATGAGAATTTGACTTCTATATGACGTTTCTTTTTAAGATTGGCACAATTATCGAGTACTCCTTCTGATTCGTACTTAAATAAGTGAAACGTTTCTCTTGTGCACGTATGGCAATGCAAACTTCGACTGATAATATCTTTAATTATTATAAGTAAAAATTATAACAATTGAAATAATATTAAATATTCATTAAGACGATTCCAACACAAGACTATATTTATTCTTATAAATAATTTACAAACATTAGTCAAAGTGAATTAGATGAATTGTACAAAAAGTTAAAATGTTTTACTTATATAAATACGGAGGGAGTATATAGGCAGAGATTTCCTTCTAGATTTCTTTTAGAAGCTATCAGTAACCATAATATTAATAAAAAAAAGGGGCACCGTTGCTAGTTCTTTGTTGGTTTGAGCACAATTTTTGGTTGCTTTGAGGATACAATGGGTAGATTACCACTCTCAATCAAACTCACCAACACTGTTTCAAGCCTCCAATATCAAGCCTCGATGCGACATCATTTTCGTCACTGGTAACACGACCAACTGGCAGTGATGAGAATGAAAGGACCTCCACCATGAAGCGCGAATGATACGGTAGGTAAGCTAGTGGCAGAAAAAGGTCGATGAGTGCTTCGTCAATGGCGGTGAGAGAAACGAAACAAGAGTTTGAATAAAGACAAATTAAAGAATTGTTGGGATTTTAATTTGGTTTTATGTAGTTGCATTTTTAGTTCTTTGTTATTCTGGGTTTTGAATAGCTAGTTCTTCGTTATGCTGTGAATGCATATAATTTGGAATTAGTACAGGGCAGTTTGGAATCTATTCATTAGCGGTTGTTTCATCTCACTGAGTATTGGGTGAGGCAATACTTTGTGTAATTCTAAAGTTGTCCCAATGGACAATGGTGAAGAAATTCTTCACGTGAACTTTTTTTTTTATTGCCAAATGCATTCCATCGGTGAAACTTCACCAAAAAATTTACAAACTTCTAAATTCACAAACTTCTAAGTTCTTAGCATGAACTTATTCACACAAATTGCCACATGGGCCCCTCATCATAAAAGTGTGACATTTTGTCCACTTTTTACCTTGTTTTTAAATTTTTTAAAAATGCTTTAAATATAGCCACTAAAATAACCACATGAATCAAGCAATTTAAATCAACCAATCAAAATATTTGGGCTGAAATTATTATCGTTATTTGTTTATTACGAATATTTTTTAAATTTTGGGTTAATATATAAAAAATAAAAATAATCACACTAACGGTCACAAAATTTAATGCTCTATAAAATAAGATCCATTTTGATGTATTTTAATACACTGCGAAAAATCATATTTTACTCTCTAAATCCATCCAAAATTATAAATAATTGCTTTAGTTATTTTCTTTGTTCAGATGATTTTGATCCTTCTCTTATCAACCATCTACAAATTTCTCAACTTCTATTAAATTAAGAAACAACTGCTTTCAAAAAATTAATCAGTATTGTAAAAATCTAGCCGCTCCTTTTCTCTCTTCTCTCTCCTCCCCATCTCTCCTCTAGAGTTTTAGTTTTCTTGGCCATTTTAAGCCGAAAATTAGACTATTTTCGACTCTTTTCTTTAATTTAGTTCAGTTTTTTGCTTGGTTTGCCTTTTTTTTGTTTTTCTTTGCTTTGTTCTCTCTATTTTTGAGAGTCTGTCCCAATTTTTTTTTTGGGGTTTTTTCCAGTTTTTTGGGATTTTCATTCTCATCTATGGATAACAATTTTATTTTTAGGGTTCTGATAATAATTGGAAAGTTATTTGGATTCATATGGATTTAGGGTCTGTCATCAACTCTACGACCAAAATATCAGCGCAGATTGCAAAGGTCTCTATTTCGAAAGATGCAAAGACATCGAAAATCACTACTCGCTTCAAGCTTGAAGCGGTGGAGTGTGAGATATGCCAAATATGCAAATCAGTTATGATTATTAATGTAAAAGTTATGCTAATTTCTCTACATTTGTGGTTTACGAATCTTTATTATTATTGTAGATGTCGTATGACTATTCATTAATGATATTATTTCTTCCCGTAAAAAAAATAAAAAAAAATAAAAAAAATCTCAACTTCTTGAAAGATTTGGAGGAAATGTACTTATTCCTCCACAGCAACCACCTCTTTCCTCTCAAAATTATGAGCACTCTCCACAAGTTTACCAAGGGAGAAACAATAAAGTGGTTGAATATGAATAAGAAGTTGTTCCGGATATAGAATTAGGAAGCTTGATGATTTCGATTGAGATATTGAGAGCCTTTAAATAGGTATACAGTAAGTTACAATAGCTAAGTATCTAGAGTATTAACAAGATAAAAGATATACATTAACTATATATGCTTACGATAGACTAAGACTAACCGGTTATTAACAAAAGATAAGAACAAGAGATCAATACTACTCTATGTTGAACTAGTCATAGTTAGTCATAGAAGATCTTTATCGATCTTTATCTTCAACACTCCCCCACAAGATGGTTGGTCTTTGAGAAAGAACAATCTTGGAGAACAACTCATGAAAGCGTATCTTGGCCAGTGGCTTCGTTAGAGCATTCGCAAGTTGATCACGACCAGAAATATTTTGAACCCGCAATGTGCTACGTTACGTTGAACTTGTTCACGAACAAAGTGAAACGCTACAGGAAGATGTTTCATTCGGGAATGAAACACTAGATTAGCTGAGTAATTAGTAGCTCCTATATTGTCACAATTGATACAAGGAGCAAGGGGAATGTGCACATTAAGTTCCTGAAGTAAAGACCGAAGCCACAAAACCTCCACCCAGTTGCAGAGGCTACTGCTCAAAATTCAGCCTCGGTCGAGGATGTAGCTAAGCTCTTTTGCTTCTTTGAACTCCAAGATAAGGAATTTCGACGCAAATAAATAATGTAACCTGTTGTAGATATGTAATTTTCCCTATCTCCTACCCAATCAGCATCACAAAATGCATGAATTTGTATAGGAGAGTAACGGTGGAAGATGAGCCCATGATGAAAAGTACCGTTTAGATATTGAAGTAACCTTTTGAGTGCAGCCCAATGAACATCAGTGGGCTTGTGCAGATACTGAGAAAGTCGATTGATAGCAAAAGAGACATCCGTTCTAGTAAGGGAAAGGTATTGTAGGCTGCCCACAAGTGCTCTATATTCGGTTGGGTTTGGAAGAGGTGTACCATCAGTTAGATTGAGAGGAGGATGAGTAATCATAAGAGTCGGAACCGGTTTAGCATCTGTCATTTTAGCTTTGTTCAGAATATCATTTATGAATTTCTTTTGACTAAAAAGTAAGCCATGTGAATGCGGGAGAACTTCAACACCAAGAAAGTAGGATAAGTTACCTAAGTCCTTCAAAGAGAAGCGAGTAGCGAGGTTGGTGATGAAGGTTGGGAGTGTGGAAGTAGATGGACCCATGACAATGATGTCATTAACATATACTAGAAGATAGAAGGTGACATTATTTTGAGCATAAATGAAGAGTGAAGAATCTGCTATTGAGTTGCGAAATCCATATGACAATATAAAGGTGTGAAGCTCCTAGTACCATTCCCTTGGGGCTTGTTTTAGCCCATATATGGCCTTCTTTAGCTTACAAACATGAGAAGGGAACTCCTTATCTATAAAACCCGAAGGTTCAAGCATAAACACATTTTCAGATAGACGACCTTGAAGGAATGCATTGTTGATGTCAAGTTGGCGGATCGACCAACCATTTGTGATGGCTAGAGAGAGCATAAGATGAACTGTAGTAGGCTTGATCACTAGACTAAAAGTCTTTGAGTAGTCAATCCCCGACCTTTGATGAAATACCTTAGCTATAAACCAAACTTTATACCATTCAATAGCACCATTTGCTTTGTACTTGATCCGATAAACCTACTTACACCCAACAATGTTTTGAGAGGGATGAGATGGCACTAATTCCCACGTGGCATTGCGAGTGAGGGAAGCATATTCATCACTCATAGAATTGTGCCACTGGGGATCTTTGAGTGCTTGAGTGATGTTACGAGGCTCACATGGTTGGGTTTAAGTGGTGATCACATGGGCAAACTTGGGATTTGGTTTGAATATGTTGTTTTGATGCTTAGTAATCATTGTTCGGGAAGGACGAGTGGGAGGAGGAGGAGGAGGAGGAAAAGATTGAAAAATTCCCAAATGAAATTGAAGATAGAAAACAACTAGTAAGGTTTCTAGGATGTTTAACCTGTGCTTCTGATTTCATAGAAAATCTTACCCTGTTAAGAAAACCATTACAACAAAAACTCAAGAAAGAAATAACTTGGAATTGGAAGAAAAGTGATCACATGGGCAAACTTGGGATTTGGTTTGACTATGTTGTTTTGATGCTTAGTAATCATTGTTCGGGAAGGACGAGTGGGAGGAGGAGGAGGAGGAGGAGGAGGAAAAGATTGAAAAATTCCCAAATGAAATTGAAGATAGAAAACAACTAGTAAGGTTTTTAGGATGTTTAACCTATGCTTCTGATTTCATAGAAAATCTTGCCCTGTTAAGAAATCCATTACAACAAAAACTCAAGAAAGAAATAACTTGGAATTGGAAGAAAAGGATCACATGGGCAAACTTGGGATTTGGTTTGACTATGTTGTTTTGATGCTTAGTAATCATTGTTCGGGAAGGACGAGTGGGAGGAGGAGGAGGAGGAAGAGGAAAAGATTGAAAAATTCCCAAATGAAATTGCATATAGAAAACAACTAGTAAGGTTTCTAGGATGTTTAACCTATGCTTCTGATTTCATAGAAAATCTTGCCCTGTTAAGAAAACCATTACAACAAAAATTCAAGAAAGAAATAACTTGGAATTGGAAGAAAAGAGATTTCAAAATTGTTCAAGATTTAAAAACTATGTGTAAAGATCTTCTTGTGCTAACACTTCCTACTAATGAAGATGATTTAATCCTTGATAAAGATGCTAGTAATGAACATTGGAGTGATGTGCTAAAAATCAAAGAAGGAGAAAAACTTTGTAGATACAGCAGCGGAAGTTTTAATAAATCTGAGTTAAATTATCCTACAATGCAAAAGGAAATCCTTGCAGTCATTAGAGGGATCGAGAATTTTTTAATCTTTTTAGCCCCAAAGCAATTTCTAATTAGAACTGATTGCAAAGGCATACTTGGTTTTGTTAAAAAGAATTTGCCTAATATGCAAGCGCAAGGGAGACTCCTGCGTTAGCAATTATGGATTAACCAATTTTTGTTTACTATTGAACATATTCAGGGATCAAAGAATTCTTTGGCAGACAGCTTGACAAGAGAATTAGCCAATGTCAAAGAAGCTCAAGGCAACACAAAAACCTCCTGCACACCAACTACAAAAGATGGATGCAAAGAGAAAAACTCTCAATAATGAAACAGAGAAAACAATGGAGCGGGTTTCACCCTCTAGTTGGGCCCTAATGCAGGGCTTGATCACTTCAATAAAACAACGATCACGAGATGGTTTAATCAAGGGTTTCCATCGACCAGTCCAAAGGCTATTAATGTTTGAAGTAACGATTATGTTATTTCAACTCATTCCTGATTTACAAAATATAATACTCAATAAAATAAGGGATAATGATTTTAGAACATGGTACGAGCTGGTAGTAACAAGATCTAGTGGATTCTTTGATGTTCGAGACCTATAGGGAGAACGAGTAGAGTTTCCTACAAACTCTAAAGTGGCATCATTACGCATTAATCCGTATCCACTTCATCGGGATACTCCATTCATTTAGATACATTACAAAGCTTGGAATTACGGAATGGTATATGCCTTTCATGATTTCCCTACTCCTAATGATTCATTCTTTCCAAAGCTTACAAAGTTCCAACAATATGCATTCAATAAGGTCCAAAGATTTTGTGATGACAAAAAAGAAAATCTTTAGCTAGAAGCAAGGGTGATTTGTGCGAATATTGAAGTTATAGAAGGAAAAGTCAGTCCGCCTCATCATTTGATAATGTTTGGGAAAGTGGCATTTAGTACTCCAGATCCCATACTAGTTCGTCAAAAGACTGTCAAAAATCCTATTGAAACAAGGGCACTAGGATTCTTCTACATCTCACAATATCTCAATTATTTTATCAAGAGAATAACAAATCCTCCTGTTATATTCCATGTGGGTAATACAACAATTGTAGCACCAAACGAAATGAGAGAATATTTAGTAGATGGCATAAACAATACTAAGTCAATCTATAAATATTTAGAAGATGTTGAGAGTGGAAAATTTCTATCATTTGAAGGACATGAGTATTTGTTTGAAGCTTTTATGACGTGGGATGAATCATATGCTGCCAAATGTGTTACAGACCTCGGCATAGAATATGATAATCCTATGTATGTCCATTATGAAGATAGTAAAGACAGTGAGGGTAGTCTGCAAGACATGATGATGGATGAGATAATGGAATACTGAGCCCACAATAACAGTCATGCAATCTACTGTAGCCATTTTTTTTATCTTCAGTACTTCTTTTGAAAAATATCTTCGTAAAAAGCAGTGGTTCTTATGAACTTACTGAGTCATGAGTGTCGGTAGAAGATAAGAGTCCTTTGCTATATAAAGGATGGTAGAATAAGGAGAAGGGAAAGGTTGAAGGAGTGAGTTAGAGCATTTCTCTGAAAATATTAGAGAGTTTTCTAGAGAAAAATACTCACCTTAAGAGACAGACTGGTTCTCCATTTCTCTTAAAGTAGAGAAACTCTAGTTCATTTCATGTCTATTTAAGCTTTCAGTTTAAAAGATATGAGTGTTGTAATCTTTCCTTATTAAATAAAAAGTTTTCTTTCAAGAGGGAACGTTATCTTCTCGAACCTTATATCACAAATGAATTACTTTGCTATTTAAAAGTTTATCAGAAACACAATATAACTCGTTTAAGTAGATATTACGGTCTAAGGTAGGAAATGAATTGGATCTGTGCTGAGCTTGATCTAAGGATGGCAAGGTTGGCGTTAGCTACCTTGGTAAAACCGGAAGCTGAAGAACGTCGGAGGTTCCATTGCCAACTAAGTTCAGGTATTGGTCAAAACTTTCTTATTAAACAGTTGTTATTGCGAAGCATGGTGGACATTAAATTAGAAAAGAAGATTCATTATGGTATATTAGTAGTAGAGTAGTGATAGCTAGTACCATAAAATTGAATTTGTACCGATTAAACGCTAAAAATCATATTGTCAGTACTAGTTTACATATTGTCTTGATAATATTTAACCTGTCATTGTTAATATTATTATTGTCATTTGCTCACAATATAATATCACAAAAGGACAAAGGTTGCCAACAAAAGGACAAAAGTTGTGCTGGTCCGTGCACCATGTTGGGTTGAGCCTGGCTCGTGTTGTTTTAATTTCAATAATTCGCATGAACAATTGTTGGAGTTGTTAAGCTTTAATTAGTACTTTATGTTGTAATATTTGGTACTTTTAATTATTATCGGTTTATGTAGTATTTGTAGGATATGTAGTCTATGCGGACTATTATTTCTATTCCTATGTAGTGGAATTTAAACTTATTTAGTGGTGTAGTGTTTATTTGGTGTGAAATATTTGTGGTTATGTGGTATTTTCCTTGGATTAGTACAAAGTTTTTCAAACGATTTTATAACACTTTATTAGCAAGTACTCAATTTTACAACTTCAGAAGATGTTACCATCAACAATAGCATTATCATGATGATATCATTCAATCTAATTGAATCTAAACTTTAATGTTGGTACTAGTATAATAGTATTATCATGTATAATAGTATTATCATGCTGGTAAAATTTTGATAAATTAAATTTGGGAGATGAACAAGAGATCCTATTTAATTAATCAATCTCATGTTTGCAAATATTATATCCATCCTATTTGAATTGGGCATTAATGGCTATTTGTTGTACTATTTTTTCCATATATTTTTTGGGCTTACTACTAATTGGGTAAATACTAATTTCGATACTAAATAAAAGTAGTACTACTATTAAAACATTAATAGCCATAATTGTAGGGGATTTTTGAAACTTAACCTTTTGAGCCCCATTGTGATCATGCTTTTAAGCATGGTGGCGTCCTAAGGGAAGGAAAACTGGAGATAAAAGAGTCGCCAACAAGTTTTAGGAGCTTGTAAACCATTCACGGGTGTGAAAGTTACACCCCATTCACGATCACAAAGATCGCTAACTCCATAGTGGTCCAGAACCATGACTGGATATTCGGGGATGATGGTACGAATCCAACCTAAAAGAGATTGAACTCGCCCTAAATAATTCTTATGATATTCATATGCGCTTTCCGATCAACATACATACATCAATTTAACCCTAAACCCGTTAATCTAAGTTAGTTGATTATTAATGCACAATCAATCTATTATTGGCGATCACTTGAATTAAAATCATATTAGCCTAAAACAAATTATCAAT